AACGGGGAGATGCTCTCGAGAGTTCATAAACCTCGATGGGCTCATCTTCCTGAACTCTTCTCTCCATTTACTCAAGTTTACCCGAAACAATACTCTAGTCAAAGCAGCATGCACATTATTCTTTCTGCGTGGATGAGCAGATGAAGACGTCCATATCAAATGGTGCTGCACATTCAGCGGAACAACAGAATGTCTGTGTCCTGTAAACTCAGGAACATGGTGACATTCTATTTTGTCTCCATCACGGTAGAACGAAAGCTTATGAGGTTTGTCCTGACCCTTGTATAGTCTGTGGCAATGTCCTTAACCGCTAGCCAGCATTTCATAGTCTTTTTCAGCTAGAAATTTATCTGTGAAATATGGCAAGGCTCGAGAAAATTCTTTGCAACAGTGGATATTCCATTTCAAAGTCCACGCAGCTCAACACTCCACAGAGATAGCAATGAAACCCCTCAGCTGTAGAAATCCAAGGCAAATCTCTGGGCCTTTGGAAAATATGCAGATATTGGAATGAACTTTCATGAAACCATGGGAATCCTGACCCAAATGACATTTGAACTGATGTTTCTGCCAAAGGCAATGATTGCTACAAATTAACCTATTTTTACTGGCCACATTCTTTTAACATAGATTCAGCTTTAATCTTGAAAAAAGAAATGGTCTCACTTCTGGACTCGCCTTCAACGTAAGCGCATAAGAATCAGAGTGGTTAGGGCATGTTGCCCAGCTCGGCAACCTAAGATATGGGCTCTAGGAGATGTGTTCCTGGGAGGTACAGTGTTTGACTACATGGGCATCCCCCCAAAGGGGAACTTTGGAAACTATTTCTATGATTAGATATTTCAGACGTTCCCACCTGATAGTAAGTTGTGAGCTGTTGACATTAAAGATGACATTTGCTAAGAGCTAAACAATTGTTTCTGATCGTTCATTAATGTGGTTTTCTGATTTTTCATACAAAACATTTGTAAAAATATATTTTTTATTGATTTCAGAGAGGAAGAGAGAGGGAGAGAGAGAGAAACATCAATGATGAGAATCATTCATCAGCTGCTGAAGGCACGCCCCCTACTGGGGATCAAGTCACCACCCGGGCATGTGCCCTAACGGGAATCAAATCATGACCTCCTCATTCATAGGTCGAGGCTCAACCACTGAGCCACGCAGGCCCGGCCAAACCACTGTTCTGTTGTTCCAAGTGGGTAGCATTCTTATAATCATCATTAGTTAGTACTTGCTTTTGAAAACACTTCTCTAAATGCATTATAGAAGAGCTAAGAATATTCTCAAGTATTCATAGGACACTCATGTTATTCCTTTTTAAAATATCCTTTACAGGATAAAATCCAGCCTCCTCAAACCTAACTGGTGTATTGAGATAGCGAGAAGTCATTTGATGGGTTACAATTGCCAACAGGAAGTGAATTGATCACATAATCAAAATGAGGGTGGATACCATCCTCTCTCTTTAACTCTGGGATAGAATTAGTTTGGACCTTTATTTCAGAATTAAAGAATAAATCTGCCCAAAGAGGAGTTTGCATTCAATTAAGATCCCAGTGAATTTGGGCAACGACAGAATACCTACATTAAAAATATGAAAGCAAGCAAATAAACAACTTATAAAAAATAAAAATGGCTTTGATTTGAAGTTATCACAGCAATGCAGGCTTGTTGAAAAACAAAAAAGTGAAAACAACTGAGAAATGTGTAACAGAAACATATGGTTGGCTCCCTTTCTGGTCATAAAACAAACCAAATTATATACGTATTTTCCTTTTGACTGTTGACTTAAAAGGTGTTATGTTCCTTGTTCTTATTTTTAAGAATGAAATGAGCCCAACTTTTCATATTGCTCTCACGCACACAAAAGAAATATACAAGAAAGTTGTTTTTTTCCTTGAATATGGTTCCCTAGAGGTTTTTCTTGAGAGTCTGTGAATTTTTTTTAATATATTTTATTGATTTTTTACAGGAGGAAGGGAGAGGGATAGAGAGTTAGAAACATCGATGAGAGAGAAACATCAATCAGCTGCCTCCTGCACACCTCCCACTGGGGATGTGCCCACAACCAAGGTACATGCCCTTGACTGGAATCGAACCTGGGACCCTTGAGTCCGCAGGCCGACGCTCTGTCCACTGAGCCAAACCGGTTAGGGCAGAGAGAGTCTGTGAATTTTAAAAATTTTTTAGAAAGGAAATTTATTAAAGAGTGGTCCAAGAATTGGAAATGACTACTGTCCATCAGTAGTAGGATGGATAAACACACTGTAGATAGTTGTACAATTTACTACCATACTTTAAAACCATCAAGACATTAAAATGAATGAACTAGATCCATATGTATCGACATGGATCAACCTAAAACAATGTTAACTGTAAAAAATGTTGCAAGAGTTTAGGAACAGTGGGATATGATTTAAGTACAAACACACACACACACACACACAAGCACAAGATAATACTATATTGCATCTAGATATGAACATATGTAATAAAAGTAAAAAATATGCTAAGAACAATAAACAACAACTTGAAGACAGTGTTAACTTGGGGGACAAAAGGGAAAGGAAGGTGAAGAGCTGGAGCTTTAGCTGAAGCATTAAAAAAAACAACTCTGAAGCACAATGGCAAAAAAATAACATTGTTAATTCCTGGTGGTGCTTTATGGATACAAGCATATTACTTTCTATATATTATAGTTAAAGTGGATAATGATGCTGATGGCGATGAACACAGGGAACAGAGAACCTTTCTTGGTGTTGACTGTTAGGAGAGCATTGATTCATCCTTATGTTTTTTTCTACTAAAAGATAACTTTCTGGATACAATATACAATATGTCTATTATATTATAATATGTAAGATATTGTTCACAGATACCTTCTTTTCTTCTAGTCTGAATCATTTTAATATTTAAAAACAAAAAAGTGAGTGCTGATTATTTTTCTATTATTTTTATTTAGTCTTTTTCAGCACACACACACAGGTCCAACCGCCAAAATGCACAGAGGAAATGAGCTCCTGCCCTGTTCCCCACAGTCCCGCCCTGTGGCTGACACCGCTGTGGGCCCCCCTCATCCTCTCCCACACACACAGGAATTCACTGTGGCTGCTTTACCCTATCGCTGTAATGCGTTTGCTCAGTTTCACATCGTGCACATGTCCCTCCCCAACATCTCCATTAGAATAAAAACCAAACCGTTGTTAATGGTCGGGGTCCATCTCTCCCAATGGCAATAGTTCCTACTCTGTAATGAGAGACTGAGGGGCGGGGGGGGGGGGGGGTCTTCTGAAAGCTGTGCATTTACAAATATGTATTTTTATTGATTTCAGAGAGGAAAGGCGGGGGAGAGAGAGATAGAAACATCAATGATGAGAGAGAATCATTGATCGGCTGCCTCCTGCCTGCCCCACACTGGGGATTGAGCCTGCAACCCGGGCATGTGCCCTGATTGGGAATCAAACCATGACCTGATGGTTCATAGGTCAACGCTCAACCCCTGAACCACACCAGCTGGGCAGGCTGTGCATTTTTTAAGCCACTAAGAGGGAGAGGTCAAAAGTAGCCCTGGCCTTGAACCTGGCTCTCTCTGGGAACATCTCTGCCAGACTCCATGGTCTGTCCTACAGGGTCTCATGTAGTTCCTGTCATTCTCTTCCAGCTCCTCCTCTGTCTTTTTGGTCACCTTTTGTGAGCAATTCCTCCTCAGACTGGGGCAGTGGCAGCACTGGTGTGGCTGTCAGGGACCCCAGCCACAAAGGTGTCTTCCTTTATGAGATAATTATTTCTTCTAATGTACATTTAGGCCTCTATTTCTAAAAGAAAAGTTTTTACTTCTAGCACATATAAAATTTAAAGCATTACACAAGAGATGGGGTTTTAAAAATTGCCTGTTTTTAGCTGATTAGGTTCAGTGGATAGAGCGTTGGCCTGCGGACCAAAGGGTCCCAGGTTTGATTCTGACCAGGGGCACATACCTTAGTTGCAGGCTCCTCTCCGGCCTGGGCCCTGGTCAGGGCATATGCAGGAGGCAACCAATCAATTTGTTTCTCTCACATCAATATTTCTCTCTGTCTTTCCCTCTCTCTTCTACTCTCCCTAAAAATCAATGGAAAAATATCCTCGAGTGAGGATTAACAAAAAAGTAAAATAAAAATAAAAGTAAAAATATAAAAATTACCCGTAAAACGTGCTTTATCCTACTTTATTCTTCTTTGGCTTTGACCTATATTCTTATTTGCAAGCCCTATTCCTTTGTAGCAATCTGGGCTCTAGAGTCCATCTTAATGCCTTCATTCTTTACTCTGAATTTCACTTTCTGCTGATTACCTGCCGACTGTTTTCAAGAGGGGACTGGCTGGTGGCTACCTCCAGGGATTACTTCTCAAATGATCCCTTTAGCCTTTCCTATTCCTGTTCTCATATCAAACCAGAAAGAGAAATCCAGTATGAGTAACTTGCTGACGTTTACATCAGGTATTATATCTCTTACTTTGTAAGACTCTTATACTTTAGAAGGAAAGACAAGACATGCAGAAATAATAATATATTTGGCATATATTGAGCCCCCAGTAGGTATCTGTTGAATGAATGAATGTAAGGAACACAAGAGATCTTAAGATAACTACCCTTCTTTCAGAAGCCCAGAGAGATCTAGGGGCTCCCTTAGATAGTGGCTTTCAATATTAGAGACCTCCTTTCATGTTGGTTGACCATTTTGAGCTGTGGAATTACAGGTTTTCCCGTTACCCGAAAGTAGAGCATTCCTATGAAAACTTTCATAAGATAAAATGGTGTAAAGCCAAAAGCCAATCACCATGAATCTATATGGAAAAATTCTTGAGCATCCCCAGATTCCTGAAATAACCAAATAATACCAAGTAACATATAAAGCTGAAATATAATTTTACCATAGACTAATTGATGTAAACACGAGTTACGTTCTTACAACATCTCATCAAGACTAGTATGTAGAAATAAGAAATGTCCAAATCTTATTAGAGAACTTTTATGAGTTTATTTGAGCCAAACCGATGACAACCGCCAGGAAGCAAAATCTCAATGAACTGAGAAAATGCTCTGGAGAATGGCAGGTTTGCAGCCTATTTTATACATTAGGATCAAAGAAGGAGGTGTAAGGACGGTTACATGAAATCCATTTGTGTTAAGATTGAGGGGATGGGAGAAAGCAAAGTGGGGAAATCTCTGGGATTGGATAAAAAGTAAATGGGGAGACACACACATCTTTTACGTTGGTGGGTACAGGACAGTTAATAGCTACCACTCACCGCATATGGAGATGGCATTCGGGGAACAAGATAACAAGGAATCTGTGATCTCTTGCTCTGGCGCAGTGGGTGTGCTTTGACAGGTCTGGAAAAGGAGCAGTCAGATATTTCAAAGGTATATTATCTTAGATGCAAAAAAGACTGTGGATAGGCTCACTCAAGGTTGACCTTTGTCAAGGAAGCTACAGGCCTAGGATGTGACTACCTTGCCATGACCTGCTTTTAGCCGCAGACCACCTATGTGGTTCCTTCCCATCCGAGTCGGTAAGGCCCGCCACGCAGCCCTCCTCCCCTGAGCCTGTCAAGTTTGGGATGGGGCCCCTTTTTTGTCCAGTTCTAACTAAGCACTGTTAACGTAAAATAACCATTGAAACCTGTAAAGAATTTGTGAGTTTATTTGAGCCAAACTGTTGGCATAAGCCAGGAAGCAGAACCTCAACGAATTGAGATAATGCTCTGGAGAATGGCGGGGGGGGGGGGGGGGGGGGGTGGGGGGGGGGTGGGGGGGTTACATTTGTATTTATACATTTGCAATCAAGGGAGGGATGTAGGTGGGTTACATGAAATCCATTGGTGATAGATTAAGGAGGAGGGATAAAGCAAAGCAGGGAAACCTCTGGGATTGGATAAAAAATAAAATGATGGACACATACTTAGGCGGGTGCAGGAGCAATTAACATGATAATGAAGGAATCTGTGGTATCTGTCTGGGCGCCCAGCAGATCTGGTTGTGCCCCAGGGGCTCCAGGGAAAGGAAAGTCACAAGTTACCCAGACATTTCAAGGGTATGTTATCATAGATGCAAAAAGACAGATAGGCTCAGTTAAGGTAAAGGTTGACCTTATCAGTGAAGATACTGGCCTAGGACATAACTGCCCACCATAACTGCTTTAGTTAAAGTTTAATTTCAGACCATCCTTTGTGGTTACTTTAGGTCTCCGAGTTTGCAAGACTGCCATGCAGGCCTCCCCTGAGCCTGCCAGGTCAGCACGTGGCCCCTTTCCTCCACAGCACAATGAATGAGAACGGTCTTATTTGAGGACCTGCTGGACTAACGTAGGACTTTCCTAAAAGCAAAATGGACTAATTTGAACTTTTGAAAAGTGGGGGGTAGATACCTGTAATCACCCTGGGTTAGGTCATCTGAATGTTGACTTTATTACTATTCTTCAATGCTATTAGATTGGCGCACTAGCCATCGATCTGGTTCTCTTCCTATAGTGAGCCGGCTCCTGGTATGTAAACACACTCCTTCCAAGCCCTCGGGACGCCGGGAGCAGCGCTTTCTGTCCGGCTGGGAGACGTTACCTTTCCTGATTTCCAGCTCTTCGGTAGAGCAGAGCGGTGAGGCGGCCAAGGCTCACAGCGCGGACCTGCGGGCTCCGTCTCCAGTGCGTTCACGCCCCTCTCCCGACCGCAAGAAGCCTGTCACCAGCTTCTCCACGTCAAGTCACCCCCTTCCTTCCCCCGCCCCATATGCCAGGACCTGGAAGCGCGCCAGGCACCATCCTTTTTCTGCTTTTACTTCTGCTCTTTTACGACTTGAGGGAACAAAGCCCTTTTCCCTGAGATACTGCTGAACCAACTCACTCTATCCGCAAGATTAAAAGGGCAGCCCAAACCTTCACGCAGCCCGGGCCACCGCGATCGCCGCCCAGAACCGGGGGCGAGGGGCAAAGCCCCTTGGGAAATGACCTTTCACCTCCCTCTCTCCTCCACGCAGCTCACCAATTTTGACGCTAGCGAATGAAGCGATGAGGAGATCTGGTAGGCGGGACTTAGTGTTACTCTCTTCACGCTGATTGGACCTCCACGGTGTGAGGGGCGGACCGCGTGAGCCGGCTAGCAACCTTCCCTCGGTGGGCGGGGAGAAGTGAGGACTGCGCTTGCGTGCCGGGAGGTGGCAGAGTGGCCGAGGCGGATACGCATGCGTGGTGGGCGGAGCTCGGCTCTTTTTACCAATATTACCAGCCCGGCTCTGGCCATCCCTGCCTAGCCGGGGCTGGTGCTTTCGCACTGCGTGCTGGAGAGTCGCTGCCGCAGCGCGAGTGGCCGCTCAGTGTTCGGGTCGCCATGGCAGGTTACGAATACGTGAGCTCGGAGCAGCTGGCTGGCTTTGATAAGTACAAGGTAGCGCGGGCCCCGCGGGCACCCTGTTCTCCTGGTCCCGGCCTCTCCCAGGCGGCGGAGGATTGGCACGGACCGTGTCACCTTGTGCCGCGTGGCCCAGGGCGGGCTGGCGGGCGTTTCTCCGGGGGTCCCGTGGAGTCCTGGGGCCTTGGGGTCGGGGTGCGTGGGACCACCCTCGACTCGCCGCCCCGACTCGGCACCCTCCCGGGATCGCCCTTGCCTTCGGAGACCGCTCGGCGAGAGGAGAACCAGAGAATTCCCTTCGCTTCTTTACTTCATCATCATTATCTTTTAGCCCCCTGAGAAGTGATGCCGTCTATGGGGGGTCTTAATTGTCTTCCTCTTAATGACGTCCCTACCCGCCTTTTCTTGGATACAACTTCCGAGATGGAGATGGCCATTTGGCAGATAGGCCCGGGGAGGGAGTGCCTGCTGAGGCCGTACTGCAGAGGCTGGTGGCGCCTGGGCTGCGGGTGGAGTAAATGCACACAGGAAGGAACTGTGGGGAAAGAGCGCGGGGCTTTGGAGTACATGCAAACCCGAAACCACACCTGATGCCCAAATCCACGGTAATTCATGTATTTGGCCCTGGGCCAAATAACGTGTCTACCGTGCCAAATGATTATAAGAATTTGAAAAGCTCCTGGCACATACTGGGCCTCGAGTAAATGCTTCAGTTTCCCTCCACATCTGGTTCATGGTCATTGCTCCTTTACCAGGGAATGAAACTCCTCTCCCCGTCTCGGTGTCCAGGCGTGAAACCTGGTGGTAACCTTTCATCCTGATTCCTCTACCCCACCCACCAGCCAGTGAATCACCAGATGCTCTGTCATTTTTTAGCCTAAACTGGAAGACTAGTTCCATTACCACACTCCCCACAAACACTTTAAGTAATGTGTTTGTTTGTTTATTTTTCAGTAATGTTTTTATTTTAGAATAGTTTTAGAATATTTTACCATACATTTTTCAGAAAAACTGTGAAGATAGTACAGAGTTCCCATATATTCTACACCCAGTTTTCCTTATTTCTAACATTTTACATTGGTATGGTACCATTTATCACAATTAGTAAACCAATATTTATACATTATTAACTGAAGTCCACACTTTATTCAGATTTCCTTAGTTTTTTAACCAAATGCCTGTTTTTTTGTTCCAGGATCTCATCCAGGACACCACATTACATTTAGCCACCGTGTCTCCTTAGGATCCTCTTGGCTATACACAATTTCTCAGACTTTTGTTTTTCATAACCTTGATAGTTTTGAGAAGCTCTGGTCAGATGTTTTGTAGAATGTCCCTCAGTCGGGACTTGCCTGATGTTTTTCTCATGATTAGATGAGGGTTTATGGGCTTTTGGGAGGATGGTTCATTGTATCGTATGAAGAGGATATGCTGTTGGCCCTGGCTGGATAGTTCGTTTAGAGTGTTGTCCAGATATGTCAAGGTTGTGGGTTCAATCCCTGGTCAGGGCACAAACTATAAGAGCCAACCAGTGGCCGAAACCGGTTTGGCTCAGTGGATAGAGCGTCGGCCTGCGGACTGAAAGGTCCCAGGTTCGATTCCGGTCAAGGGCATGTACCTGGGTTGCGGGCATATCCCCAGTAGGAGATGTGCAGGAGGCAGCTGATCAATGTTTCTCTCTCATCGATGTTTCTAACTCTCTATCTCTCTCCCTTCCTCTCTGTAAAAAATCAATAAAATATATTTAAAAAAAAAATTTAAAAGAGCCAACCAGTGAATGCATAAATAAGTGAAACAACAAATCAATGTTTCTCTCTCTCTCCCTCCCTCCCTCCCTCTCTCCTTCTCTCCCTCTCTCCTTCCTTCCCTCTCTTTTAAATAAATAAATTTAAAAAGTACATGCTATCAACATGACTTATCCCCGTTGATACTAACGTTGATCACCTGGCTTAGGTAGTGTTTGTTCGGTTTCTCCTCCTAAAGTTACTGTCTCTGGAAGGGAGTTACTGTGCACAGCCCACACTCTCCAGGAATGGAGAGTTATGTTCTACTCCTTGAGGGCAGAGAAAAATTTATTTGGAATTGTGCATGGAGGATTTGTCTTCCAATGCATATTTATTTATTCAATCATTTATTTATATTAGTGTGAGTTCATGGGTATTTATTTTATACTTTGGGTTATAATCCAATACTACTTTATTTTGTTGCCCATCTATATTCACTTTTATCCTTCCAATCCTTTTTCTTTGTTTCATAGTGATCTTAAAAAAAAAAAAAAGGCATCTAGTCACAGCATTTCTTTGGTTAAAACCCTCCACTGTCTTTCCATTGCTCTTGGAATGAAGTCCAAAAATCCATAACATGATCTCCATGGCTCCGAATAGTCTATGTCCAGCTTTACATCATGCCACTCATTGCCCCTCCCAGCCTTAGTAGGGCCTCCCCCCGCGCCCCCCACCAACACACACACACCTTTTCCCCAGATCTTTAATGCTGTTATGTCTGCCAGGAATGTAGCTTCCTTCCCTATTTATGTTCATCTTCATATCTTAAATGTTAATTCTTCAGAGAAGCGCTCCCTAATTATTGCTTTCCCCTTAACTGTGCTCAGCACCCTCTGCTTCTTTATGGAATTGGCTCTTTAGTGTATCTCCGCATTAGAATATGATGCCCAAGTAGTTAGACTTGTCTTATGGAATACCGTGACCTGGGCACTGTGCCACTGTGCTTACTAGGCACCCAATAAACCTTTGTGGAATGAATGAATAACTGAAGAAGTCATAGTGGATTGTGTCTAACTGGAATTGGGAAAACTGTAAGGGATCTCAGAAGGTCACGTGGTATATTCCTCGGCCTTCAAGCAGTGTTGTGCCATACCATTGTGAACTGCGGTGCTGCTGACTTGTCTTAAAATTTTAAGTAAAAAGAAGTTCCAGAGCCTTGGTAACCCAAGCCAGGGCTTTCCAGTTTTCATTACTGGGTGTTATTAACCCAGATAACCTCCTGTTTCCTTTAAGCTATACTCCCTTTCTGTTACCTGTTTTTCATGGTAAATATTGACATATAAAACTTTTTCTTCTTTACTAGGATCTGTCTTTCTGGGTAAGTGCCCGCAGAAGAGCTGTTCCATTTGCAGCAATGTCTGTAATAGGGACTCTGACTTTTCCTATAAGCAGTCTTCTCTAGATTGATATTTTCCACTAACTAGGGGTCTTCCTTTACAGAAAGTTTTAGTGTGCTCCTCTGTTCCTGTTTCCCCCCTTCCCTTATCTGACTCACTTCCTGTGTCTGACAGCAGATTTCCTATCATCCTAGAAAACAAAGGTCAATTAAGCAAGCATCCAGTGTTTACTAAAATGTAGTTTGCTAATGTTATTTTAGTTATAATGAGGCTTCTTTTGTAAAAAGGGGGAGGACATACATTTATTTCTTCTCGTGGAGGGTTCTTTACTCAGTACTGTGTTCATTTTATTTTATTTTTAAGTATATTTTTATTGATTTTAGAGAAGAAGGGAAAGGAAGAGAGATAGAAACATCAGTGATGAGAGAGAATTATTGATTGGCTGCCTCCTTCAGGTCCCCCACTGGGGATTGAGCTGGCAACCTGGGCATATGCCCTTGACTGGAATTGAACCTGGGACCCTTCAGTCTACAGGCTGATGCTCTATCCACTGAGCCACACAGGCTAGGGTAGTACTGTGTTCATTTTAAAAAGTATGAATCCAAGGTTGTCCAAAGGAGAAATCTGTGTGATCATTACTGGAATGTGAATCACACCTAGAGACCTTTTCTTCCTGAAAATCACACATTCCCATTGTGTGGTCTTTGATAGTAAGTCATTTATGAGTGCTTGCCGAATGAAAACAGCTTTACCCATAAATGGGTCAAGACTTAAAATACTCAAAAGAGATTGTATTCCCTGATGTGACCCTGTATGTTAGAGCAAAGAGATGTAGAGAAAGATTGATACTATAAAAGCAGCTGGTGGAAAAAATTACTTTTAAACTAGTTTAATGTATCTTTTCTGGAGGTACATCTGAGAGCTACCGCTGGAAACCTGGCAGTTACTCAGAATCACTGCTGAAAGGTGTGCACACGCTGTGGGTCATTAGGTTTCTGGGATTAGGGACTGCAAGACAATTCATTTTCAGTACAGAAGAAAGCATGGATGGGGTCTGTGTTAGATGCTCTCTTAACACTGTGTTCTCTGTTGTGCTACCACAGATTTATTAAGCAGTGAAATAATTAGTGTCTGCCTTCTCTTTTAGGATATGCGCTCTGGGAGGCAGGGCCTTTGGCTGTCTCCTTCAACATGACCAAGGTCTAGCACATGAACAGAATGGGCTCTCAACATATTTATTGAAGGAACGGAAGTGTAAAAGAATAGAAGCCATTGTGGAAGGTGGTAACAGGGAGCTGTGCATCTCCTGGATATCGGAAGGAGACTTTTGTATTTTGAATGTGTAAATGTCAGGGTGTTACTGGGGCGATGAGGAGACCTCAGTTCTTGTCTTCTTGAAGGAAAGATTTTCAGTCAAGAGACAAAGTGCAGCAAAGCAAGCCAGAACTTATTGGCTGCAGCAAAAATGTACTTAGGACAGTGAAACAAGGAAGGGCATAACGGGTGGGGAACCTTTTTTCCTGCCAAGGGCCATTTGGATATTTATAACATCATTCATTGGCCATTCAAAATTATCAACCTAAAAATTAGCCTGCTATATTTGGTCAGACATTTAATTAACTCACCCCCAATGCCTTGATTTCGAGAACCTTATGTGGCCCGAGGGCCCAGGGGTCTGATGTTCCCCATCCTGGAGAAAAGTAACAGGAGAGCCCAGCCTGGGCTGCTTTGGCTCACTGAAAAGTCAGAGAAAAGGGCGCCTGGAGACAGGGTCAGGGGGTTCGCCTGGGATGAGCTGCCTCTGCCCATTGCTCCCCTGGTTGCAAGTCTCGTGGGGTCTCTTAGAGGGAAGAAGGGGGAAGGGAAGGTGCTGGCCCACCCCCAGGGTCCTTCATCTTGAGCTTATTTATCTCTC